TGCTTATGATATAGTGAAAAATATTAAAAGTAAAAAGAAATTATTATTTGAATCGGAAAAGTGGATGAAATTAGCGGTAAAAAATATTAATCTTTTAAATAAAATTTTGAAATCAAAAAAGAATTGATTAACGTGAATAAACGAAAAAGAATTTTAACAACAGTTGGAATTTTAAAAACAATTAGTGAAAGATTTAAAGAAATTCAAAAAACTGGTAGAGGTAGCACAGGAAAAAAGGAAAAAAGAATAAAATGGGAAAATTTAGAATCAGCTTTTGAGAATAGGATTAAAACAGGAATGGTGATTAATTTAAAACACAAAGATTTATTCAACTTTTTAGAAGAGTCTAAATCATTAATAAAATCACGATTAAAAAAAGCCTTTAGAGAAAATAGTAGTTTAAAAGTAAATTTTGTTTTAATGGGTAATTTTACAACTATTGAAAGCGGTGAAAATATAGAAGAAAAAAAATCTTTTAATACGAAAAATGAAGTTATTTCTCCCTTCTCAGATTTGGATGCAATTCTTAATAAATTAAATAAATATATTTTAAAAGAAGTGGAGGAATTTAATGAAAACAAGTCAGGTTGGTCATTAAAAGAGATTTTAAATTTAATGGTGAACATAAATAGACATGCGCCAATTCAAGTAGGCTGTTCGGAAAATATAAAATTGCCAAAATTTATTATAGAAAAACATGCTGTTGTAAATATAAAAAATGCAGACAATTATTGTTTTCTTTGGTCAGTAATGGCAGCTTTGTTTCCAGTAAAAAATAACGCGAATCTGATTAGTTCTTATCCGGATTTTAGGAATGTTTTAAAATATGAGGGAATAAATTTTCCTATAAGTTTGAAAGATGTGTCTAAATTCGAAAAAATGAATAGTTTGAAGATAAATATTTATAGTTTGGAAAAAGTTGGTAAAAATAAAGAAGAGATTGTTCCTTTTTATTTAAGTGACAATTTCTCTAAAAAAGATACTATTCACTTACTGATGATAAATAAAGGAGAAACTTTTTCTGCAATAAATAAAAGTGATAAAATAAACGATATTGATAATAATAGTAATAATTATCATTTTGCGTGGATTCGCAATTTGTCGCGATTGGTAAAGTCACAATTTACAAAACACAACGGTCGAACTTGGTTATGCGATAGATGTTTATGTCATTTTAATTATGAAAATTCATTTCTCAAACATAAAACTGATTGTATGAATTTAAACAAGTGTAAGGTTATTCTACCGACAGAAGAGGAGAATATTTTAAAATTTAAAAATTTCAGATTCAAAGAAAAGGTGCCATTTGTACTGTATGCCGATACTGAAAGTCTTTTAGAACCTATTAATGATAATAAAGTAATATCTGGGGCGTATAGAAAACATATTCCGACGAGCGTTGCATATTATCTAAAATGTGATTTTGATGATTCACTATCAGTGTTTGAAACTTATAGAGGGCAGGATTGCATTTCATGGTTTATGGAAAAATTAATAAGTATTGCTGATTTAGTTGACTTGTATTTAAAAACAATAGTACCAATGGAAACTTTATCTTTTCAACAAGAATTAGAATTTAGAACTGCAAAAATTTGTCATATTTGTGAAGATTCATTTGAAGATAATGATACTAAACATCGCGATCACTGTCATTTCACGGGAAAATATAGGTGTGCAGCTCACCAGGGTTGTAATATTAATTATAAAAATTCTCATTCGATTCCTGTAATTTTTCATAATTTATCAGGGTACGATGCACATTTTTTTATTAAAGAATTGTGCACTTGTTTTGACGGACCTTTAAAACTTTTACCAATAAATAAAGAAAAATATATATCGTTCACTAAATACGTAGATGGCAAGAATGTATGTTTTAAATTTTTAGATTCGTTTAGATTTATGCCTAGTAGTTTAGATAAGTTGGCGACTTTTTTAAACAATAACGAAAAAAAAATTACTGCGAAATATTGCAGTAATATTGATGAATTTAATTTACTGGTCAGAAAAGGGGTTTTTCCGTACGAATACATTGATAGTTGGCAAAAATTAGAGGAAAATAAATTGCCGCCTATAGAAGCATTTTTTTCGAAATTGAATAATTCAAACATATCAAATGAAGATTATGAGCATGCTTGCCAAGTGTGGAATACATTTAATTTAAATAATTTGGGGGAATATTCTGATTTATATTTAAAAACAGATGTTTTACTTTTAGCCGACATTTTTGAAAATTTTCGAAAAACATGTTTGTCAGCATATAATTTAGATCCCTTACACTATTTTACTGCACCAGGACTGGCATTTGATGCTATGTTAAAATACACGAAAATAAAACTAGAGTTATTGCGAGATATTGACATGTTACTTTTCATAGAAAAAGGTATTCGCGGAGGAATTTCTCAATGCTCAAATAGGTACGCGAAAGCAAACAATCGTTTTATGGGGCCAGAATTTAATTCAGAAATTGAAGAGTCTTATATAATGTATTTTGATATAAATAATTTGTATGGCACAGCAATGAGTCATTTTTTACCCTATTCTGATTTTCAATGGGAGACCAATTTATTAGGATTTGATGTGGATAAAATTGATGACGATTCTTCTTTTGGATATATTTTAGAAGTAGATTTAGAATATCCTGCAGAATTGCATGATTTGCATAAAGATTTGCCCTTATGCCCAGAACATTTTATTCCCCCCGCTCCAGACAGCAAATTACCTAAATTGATACCACATTTATTTTCTAGAACAAAATATGTAATTCATTATAGAAATTTAAAATATTATTTAAAACTTGGAATGAAATTAACGAAAATTCATAGAATATTAAAATTTAAACAATCTCAATGGCTAAAAAAGTATATTGATTTAAATACAGAATTCCGAAAAAAGTCTACAAATATATTTGAAAAGAATTTTTACAAGTTAATGAATAATTCTGTTTTTGGGAAAACAATGGAAAATATAAGAAACCATAAAGATATTCGTATTGTTACAAAATGGGAAGGTAGATATGGTGCCAAAGCTCTTATTAGTAAACCGAATTTCAACAGTTGTTATATTTTAGAAAAGAATTTAGTTATAATAGAGATGAATAAAGTTAAAATTATATTTAATAAACCGATTTACGTGGGATTTAGCATTCTTGATATATCGAAACTCTTTCTTTACGATTTTCACTATAATTATATTAAAAAAAATTTCGCTGATAAATCTAAATTACTGTACACAGATACTGATAGTTTAATTTATCATATTAAAATTCCAAACATCTATGATTATATTAAGCGAGATTCCGATTATTTCGATACTTCCGATTATCCAGAAAATAACTGCTATGGTATACAATTAAAAAATAATAAAGTGCTCGGTTTAATGAAAGATGAATGCAACGGAAAAATTGTCACCGAGTTTATCGGCTTGAGATCAAAATTATATTCATATAAAATATTAAACGAAAATCGTGAGAAAAAAAAAGCTAAAGGCGTCAGGTCTTCAGCTTTAAAAGAAATTACATTTGACGACTATAAAAAAACACTTTTTTCCAATGAAAATCTAGTTAAAAATCAATATTCAATTCGCAGTGAAAAACATCAAGTTTACACTGTAAAACAAAAAAAAGAAGCTTTAAGTTGGTTTGACGATAAAAGAGTACTTTTACCGAAAAATACAGATACGCTTCCTTGGGGGTACAAAAAATTAGTTAAATAATTAATGGAAAAAAAATCAGTAATTTCAATAAAGAGAATTAAAAGTTATATATATATATTCTAATAACCTTTCTCTTTCTCTCTATATGTATTTCTCATGCTCTCACTCTTCATCTTATTAGTCACCATGCTTTTGGCAAAGCCCTTTGTGTGTTATCAGACTTTTCTCTCTCCTTTCAACATATGTTTATGTCTCTGTTCCTCATTTTCTAAACATTCGGGCCGGGTATAAAAAGTGTCCGGCTCCATATAGAGGACTCATTAGAAAAAGTGATCTCTTTTATTGAAGTTTGACACGTCGCGTCAAGAGCAGTGCAGTGATTTTTAAAAAGAGACCTCCTAATTAAGAGCAGTTGGAATACGTGAAAAGTGTTTTATTCAATTTTAGCGAAAAAGTGCAGTGGATTTATTTTTTCCAATTAATCAAAGTGAGCATTATAATTTAACAGTTATTTCTAAAAAAAAAATTTATGAAAAATTCTTTTAATTAACTTTTTTTAGTTTTATGTTATGAAAAAACTCGGTTTTTTAATTTATTCCTTTTCATAAAAATTTAGTTTTATTTCAAATTTTTTATTTTATTTATCATTTGATTCGATGAGTTTACATTTTTTTTTTGCTACGGACTGTGAAAAAAAAATTTTTTTTTAAATTTTAATTAACTTTTAACTTTTTTTTTATGTTCTGCAAAAAAGGTTTTTTTAATTTATTTCTTTTTATAAAAAAATTTTATTTTTTTCATCATTTGATTCATTAAATTTATAAAAAAATTTTGTACACATTTTTTCTTTTTTCAATCAACTTTTAATTTTTTAATTTAGTTACCAATTTTAATTTTGAAATAAATTTTTTTAAATTAACTTTTGACTTTTTTATTTTTTTTTATATTCTGAAAAAAGGTTTTTTAAATTTATTCCTTTTTTTATAAAAAAAATTTAGTTTTTATTTTAAATTTTATTTTATTTTATTAATCATTTGATTCGTTGAATTTATAGAGAAATTTTGTACACATTTTTTTTAATCAACTTTTTAATTTTTAAATTTAGTTACTAATTTTAATTTTAAATAAAATTTTATTTTTTTTCAATTACATTATTTTTTTTAAATAAATTTATTTTGAATGTTAAAAAAAAATTTAATTATTAATTTTTTAAAAATTAATTTAATATTTTTAGAAAATTTATTGCTTTTATGAATTTTTAGTTTTATACAATATTTTTTAAATTTACTCGTGGTTTAGATAAATATTATTCAAGCTCCACGTGCATGGCTGGAAAGTTCCAGCAACGTGGATCAGTTTAAGGAGCTATGCATTACGGGTTTATCAATGCGAGCAAGAGATTTATTTAATGGGATAACCAAATGCTCCACACCTGTATTTTTATCATACAACAATATTAGGGCGAAAGTCAATTCGCTTCTAAATGGATATTGGTTGCGACGAGTGGACATGAACTTTCAAGAAATTTTGGTAAATATTTCTTTCTATAGATTAAATTTTTAATAGTAATTTTTATAATATACCCTTCTTTCTTAAATGTTCATTTTATTTTAATTTAATTAATTTAGTTTTTATCTCAATATATTTCATTCTTAATTTTTTAATATTATTTAACAATTTTTTATTAACATTTGTTTCTATTATTTATTAATTTTTTTTATATTAAATTGTCCATTTTTTATTAACAATTGTTTTTATTATTCTTTGTTTCAGAATAATCAAAATTATATTGGCTTCAATCTTTACTTTCACATTCCATCAGAATGGATTGAAAATTGTTTGGATATTGAAAGGCTGTCCGATTTCCTTATATTAGCTGCAGGTGTTAGGCGGTATTCGCTTTTCAACGACAATCCCATCGATGGAGACGAGTACTTCTTAGAACATTTGAACATTGTCGTTGAAGTAAAAGAGGTTGGCAATTACACATTTTTAATGCAAAGAAGACCTGACATTACGACTTTGGTGGGAGAAGGTTTCGATTTCGATATTATTGATTCGGAAGCTGTACATACTGAAGAAATGGAGGAGATGGAGCAAGGAAATAAAACATGGGGGCAGACCGATATTCAGTTTAATAATATTAACCCAAATGATGTGCTTGCTATTGAAGCCCCCAATGAAGAGGAGGATGAGGAGATGGGGAACGAAGAAGAAAAAGAAGAATTAAAAAGAGCAGTGTTATCTATCCTACCTCCAAAAGAAGAAGAAGAAGTGGAAGAAGGGGAAGTAGTTGAGAAAATGGAGGAGAAAGAACCCTTAAATTTAATTATAAAAAAGGAGCCAGAAGAAGTAAAAGAGGAGAACGTGGAGGGGGGAGAAGAATACTAGTGTGTTTTTATATTATTACACATAGTTTTTTATTCACTTTTATTACGCATTTTTTTTATTAATTCTATTATGCATATTTTTTTTTAAATTTTCTTATACTCCATTTTATTAAATTTTTTTTTTTTTTTTTTTTTTTTTTATTTTTATTTTATTGTTTATACTCCTGCCCTATTGGCCTTACGCACTTCGACAACAGTCCCCGAGAAATACTTTTTTTGGATTAAGCATAACCATTCTACTTTAGAAATTTTTCTATATATATATATTAACCTAATTTTGCGTCTACAGCCGACTTTATTAGGAGTACTCGCATTACGCCTGGACCACCCGTCAATGGGTTTTCTCGCCAGAGAAGAGGGAAACTGTAGAAAACCTCTCTGAGTACAACCGGTTTATCGACAGTCGAGTTCTAATGGTGTGTACCGGACAATAATCGACGGTGCACATCATTATACCTCGACGTCAAACCTCCCGCTCAGATTGTCTCACGTGCCGGAAAAATACCAAGCCAAGTGGGCGCGAACCAAGGGTACTTGTGCCCTTGGTCCTTAAACGACCACCAACGCCAGGCATCTATCCGACTGAGCCAATCTGTCGGTCACCATTTTATTAAATTTAACTTCATTTTCATAAACAAAAAAAATATTGTTTGTTTATAGTTCCATTCTTCGAATGCATTGAAAAATAAAAAACAAAAAAAAAATATTTTTATAGGATGATTTTTGAAATTTCCTTTTTGTCTATTTCAGGTTAATAGTTCATTCTTAAAAATAATAATCGAAACATAAATTGGCAGTTTTGAAATAAATAAGTAATATTTTTAAAAGAGTATTTTTTCTATTTTAAAATTAAGAAAAATTCTTTTTTCGTATAAACTTTTTAAGATTTAATTAACAAAATAAATTCTTTAATTAAGTTTTATCATAAAGAGAAAAAAAATAAATTAATTAATAGTGAAAGCGGAGACTTGAAAACACTAAGATCGTTCAGTAGTAACAGTAAGTATAAACTTCCTCTTTCGCTTATCAAATTTTTTTTTGTCCCTGACTATGATATTAAAAGAATCGAATTTGAAAAAGTTTTTAAAGTAACTATATAATTAAAGAAAAAAAATTAAGATTGTTAACTTCTTACACTTTTAATTTAATTAACTTTGCCTGTTAATAAATAAATAAATACATTGAGGTGAAATAAGAATCACATTTAATTTATTGAAATTAATTATATTTATTATTATAATTGTTACAATTTTCATGCAACCAGCTTTTCAAGTTTAGAACATTTTGAAGAGCGCAGATAAAAGATTTTTTTTATTTGGATGTTGAAAACAAATATTAGCTGTTGTTATATCTACTAATTTTTTTATCGAAGGACAATTCAAATCATCCATGTCTATAACTTTAATATTACATTCGATAATTATATTTTCTATCCACTTTTTTTTCTCATAGCCTTTCACAAAAATCGTTTTTGCATTTTTTAAAATACTGTTTAATATTTTCTTCATAAAAATATATGGAATATCACCATCATTCCAAGAAAGTCCATGAAAATTATTTTCCAACCAGCGATTGGTATATTTATATTTATTTGAGATAGTATCCCACGAACAAGGCGGTTGAAAAATTAAACTAAACGGCTTAAAATCATTGTTAATCGAGGCAACAGCTAACTCTTTTACAATAAATTTATTGACCGGCAATTTAAACCCTTGTACGTCTATCAAGTACTCCATTTTTAAAGAAACTGAGAAATATTTTTTCATGTACTACATTTAATAAGCTTAGGATGATGATAATGATGATGTAATCGCAAGAAAAAAAAAAATTTTTGAATCAACTGGAGTATGAGTGTGTGTCAATGAACGACCTTCTCAAGTTACACATAACTGACCTACGACAAAATTTCTCCGAAGGTCGATCACTAGTCATAGGCGTTTCTTTACTTCATAATCTTTTTTTTCTTTTTCTTCTCTTATTCAGTAATAAAAAAAATTTTAAATGTTTATTAAAAACAATTTGTTGTTTGGTTAAATTTTCAAAATAGATATTTAAAAAATTTTTTTTTTGCAAATTAAAAAAAATATTTGTATAAAACAGATTTTTTGAAAAAAAAATTAAATTATGTGTGTTGATTTTTTTTATGGAATGTTAAATAAAATTAACTCAAATAATAATATTATTTACTAATGATTTATTTATAATAATACAAAAAAAATTTTTAAATACATTTTTTAAATTAGATAATTTTTTTTACAATTCCACTTATTGGTTTATATTCAATAATTCTATCGTGCAAAATTAAACAGTAGGCTGAAGTATTTGCTGCAAAATTATCTTGTGATTCAAATTCCAAGCGAATGTCTACAGGTCCACTTTTTAATGACTCATTTTGTTTTGAACAATCCACGACAACTAAAGGAGCGTATTCTAAAAATTCTTTTTTAGTTAAAATTGGTTGTGATTCTTTACCATAATATGAAGTTTGAAAATTAGTAAACATTTCATACAAAGTTGAGTACTGATTTCTACCAATATTGAGATTCATATTACCATAGGGGTAACATTGCGAATTTAAAAACAATTTTACATCAGATAAATTACAATGATCAAAATAGCTAGAATTACGAACAGTATTATTTTTTCTATTTCTTTGAAAACCTAAAACAATAAATCTTGGTTTCTCTAATTGTGTTGAAGTTTTTACACTCCAAATATGCTTAGGAGTAATTGGTAACAATGGATATTCATACAATTCCCAAGTTCGAAAACTGATAGGAATGAATGGATCTTTTTCAATATATTTCAATAATTTAAATTTTCGAGCATCTGATAATTTTATGTATGGTAATAACCATTCGATTTTCTTAATTACAATTTTATACTCTTCTAAAGGCGCTACTTGCAAAACTGCATTATTATCAGTTCTTGATCTAATTAAAATAAGCTCATGTTTTGCGTTAATAATGACTTTTTGATAATCTTCTGCAAAACCAAAAATCATACTTAAAAGAATACAAACATTAAAATAACCTTGAGCATTTGTTAAGGTTGGTTCATCGGTAAATTCTAACCAGCCAACATTTTCAAAAAATTTATTCTGACTGGCATCAAGAGAAATATAATTTTTAATTAAACTTGTAAGACCTACATTCTTATTCTTATCTATTTCTACACCATTAAGTTCATATTTTGCTTCCTCAAATAAATGGCATATTCCATTAGAAATTAAATTTGTACGCTCAAGGGCTGTTCCATCAGGTTTCACAAGTTTTCCTGTTATGTGAATCGAGCTTTTGCTTGGAAGTAAGCAATGATCCTGGTTTTGTACAGTAATGCGAATTTCATCGCTATTGTTGAATGTTGATGAGGTATATGGTTGTTGCGCATGCACCTCATAATGAGCAATAGATTCATCAAAAATAATTGGTGAATAAATATTTAAAATTTCCCCCTCCATAGCAAAAAAATATTCGTTTAAAAACAAATAAACTTACACAATTACAAAAAAATTTAAATCTTTTTATCCTCTTTTTTTTACGATTTTGAGACCGAGACTTTTGAGCAGCTTCAGGTTCTGAGGTGTTAACCTTTTCAGGATTCGCAGTTAACTGATTTGTTTTTGGCATGGTGTTTTATTTTTATAACCATAACCAATTTTATTTTTACTATAAAATGCAATGCCCATTATTTTAAAGACTTGACGTGAATCCTAATTGTTATTGTCTCTCCTCGAAAATTAACTAAATTTCCGTCTTGATCAACAATTTTCAGCTGAATGTGATCTATTGTCTTTACAGCGACTGGCAAGTAAATGACGTGATTTGGCACTTCCACTATTTTATATCCTGGTGGTACAATAGGAAAAAATTCATGGATTGTATGCACTTTTTCCCCATTAATATATGCCCCTGTAGTTATGTTACACTCTACTCTTAGTGAATTTATTTTAATAATTGAAACTGGTTGATCAGATTCATGGTATTCTTTAGCTTTTAATTTTCGCGGTGAAAAGCCAAGCAAGCTACCAATAGAATAATTGTGTTCGAAATTAATTTCTTTATCACAATAAATTGTACACTTTAATGTATTATTATTGGGTTTGACTCTGAAATTTATTCCTTTATTTTTCAATATAAAATTCAAAACATGATCAATATCATTAATTTCATAACTTTCTGTGGGTATAGTGATAACTTCATTATCTACATAAAATTTATTTTTTCCCTCATCTACATTTGGAATTGAATTAAATGTCAAAAATTCAACAAGACCAAGAGCATAATTTTTAAAGGGAGATAGCTCTATAGGTGGGAAAAATTGAGATTCTAAGATGGAAGAATTTCCAGATAGCGTTAAAATAAGCGATTCGTCCATGATGACTTCTAAATATTTACTGATTTGAAAATTTAAATTATTTGTCTTTTATATGTATAGAATACATATCAGGAAAATTCAATTGATTACATAAAAATTTAAGACACAAATGACCGCATATATATGAGTCATAATTTTGATATTTGTTAGGATTATACATTATACTACCAACACCGAAATATTTAATAAGATCTAAAGGTGGTCGAAGATTACCGAAGCTGTCAAAATAAATAATTTTATTTTTATTTTTCTTATAAGCACACCAATGTGTACCAGGACCATTATTATCATCAAGATTTATTATTGCGGATTCATTTTCATTATGGCCAAGTACAGGGAGCTCATTTCGCATAAAAACTCCTCGAAAAAATGGAATTTTTAAACATTTTGAAAATTTCAGTAAATCTAAATCTGTAAGGGCTCGGCGAGGTAGTTTCACTTTAAGTTTTTTGACTTGCATCCATGTCCTGTTTTGTACGGCTTCAAATAAAGTCCTAGTCCAGTATTGTATGGTTTTAAATAAAGTCCCTTTTCTAAAGCAATAGATTCCATCGTCGTATTATGTCGCTTACTTTCTTCTAGTTGACGCTTAGCAGCATTTGCGTCATTCACAGCTTTGGCTATGCCA